TATGGTTCATGGGGTCACGAAGAGTCGGACACGACTTAACGACTAAATAACAACAACAACCCGTACAGTGAGTTTTTATTATATAAGCACAAAGTATTCTATTTAAATAAAAATGGATTATCAATCATTACCCCATTTTTATTTCCTATAAAGAATAATGATCTTTCACAACATTCCAGGATATCTCTGTCATCTTCACTGGTTTCTCTTTTCTCAACTTCTGCTTTAGCAATATCCCATATGGTGTCACTAGTAAAAAAATCAAATCAAATAAAAATAACTTCATACAGAATAATGTTCCTATAATTCCAGTTAAGAAAGCCAGTTTTGTGTAGTGGTTAAGGCACCAGGCTAGAAACCGGGAGACTGAGAGTTCCAGTCCCACCTTAGGCACGAAGCCAACCGGGTGACCTTGGGCTAGTCACTCTCTCTCAGAGAAGGAGGCAGCGGCAAATCACTTCCAAAAAACCTTGCCAAGAAAATCTTGCCGAGCAGTCGCCAGAAGTCAATACTGATTTGAAGGCACCAAAAACAAAACAAAACAAAAAATCCAGTTAAGGAGCTTCTTTGGCAAACATCTTTCATTCTTTCTTCACTGAAATTGGGAAAGCTAGTAATACCAAATACCTGAATATTTTTTTAATTAAAATTTTATCTATCAACTACAAGCAAATATATTAGTCGGCTATGAATTTCTGCTTGATTGTAAATATGCATTAAAATCAGAATAGCACTGACAGTCATTAAATGATATGTGGCTTTGTGAAACTTGAATTCTAAACTGTATATAGGCTAGCACTCAGTTCTGCTCTTTTGTCACATTAATACATTTTTCCTTTATTAAAGGATGAAGGCAGGAATTCCTCTTTTTACTGATCGCTAACCCACATGGGGTGGCTTGCTGATTGAAGTTTATAAATGATGAATTATAAATTTATGAATGATTATAAATTACCATTTTTCTCAATAAATAAATTAACAAGTAGAATGTTTTTGACTTATTTGTTTAATTGGGTTCTCTTTATCTAGTTTTAGGCCTTGTGTGGAGGCCTAAATCACATATATTTTGGATCATATTTTGGGTCATATTTATGCAGAAATATTGAAAATTTGAAAGAGTTCACAAACTTTTAAGCACCACTGTAAATGAGACTGAATTCAGTAGGACTTCATTCTAAGAAGCATGCACTGGCTTGGCCCTGCACCAGTGCAATCCTATAAAAGTAAACACTCCCTTAACCTCTACACCTTGTGACTTCATGGATATGTCCAGGTAGTTTGTATGGCAACAGCATAGAACTGGTTTGCCACTGCCTTTTTCTGGGACTTTTTTTTTTTCCCAGTCTAGCCTACAGCCCTGGTAATTCCTGCTAATGAGATCGTATCTGAGTTTCACAAAAGTGTGTGTGTAATACACACACACACACACACACACACACACACACATATTGGTGAATGTGCCCTTGCAAAACTCTACAAATTGTTCATATCTAATGCACTAAAAGGGCTGGGAAAGGTGGAAGGAAAGAAAAGATAAGGACAACCAGCAGCAAGGTGAACGGACTCAATTACACTCAAGTACACTGTGGGAAGACCTGAAGGGCCAGTCTGGGGACAAATCATCGCAGAGAAGATCTATCTATGGGGTTGTTGATCAATCAAGTGCACCACATGACATCCTCTCCTAGGCATCTTCACTGAGCCCCAAACTTGCCTGACAGCGTGTCCTCTCCCCTGCATTGGTAAGTAGGTCCTTCCAAGGACCCCTACAGCACCAACTGTCAAAAGCACAGTGGCCACTTGGTTAACAGACCAATGTATGGTGGTGATGGTGGACCACGTGAGGAGCAGCAGATTTTTCTAGATCTTTTTTTCCCGTTGTAACTACCGTACAGTAGAAAAAAAAATGGATCCGATTACCACAGAGAGTCAGTATCTCTGAGCAGCTCAGTGGAAAAGGCTGGGAAAGGGTACATCGCCCTGCTCCTGGTCGCTTCCATTTGCGCCTCTGACCGTTTTGGATCAACTTATACGTCCGCTTTAGGCTCAGAGGTTGGGATCCCACCCAGTGATCGCGCAGCACCGCCTCGGCTCATTCACCTCTAGGGCAAGAAATCACGGAAAAGTGCATTTGTGTCCCCTGCCGCCGCCCAGAGAAATAGCGGTGCGCCGTCAAGATGCCCCTTTTGCCAACAGCCACCATTGCCCGCTGGCGCAGGGAAAAGAGCGTGGCCCAGCGGGTTTCATCCTCCCTCCGAGAAAGAAGGCGAGCAAAAGCCAAAGGTGACAGCCTGCCCTCAGAGTCACCCTTGCCCACCACTCGCCTTCTCTCTTGGTGGGGCAGCGAGAAGGAATAGGGTTGACGGTCCCTCAAAATCTGGACTCGGTCCCGCCAGTTGCTGTCGAAAACTGAGCGCAGCAAACCTCCTGACACGGGAAAGAAAACAGTCCGGGCGATTATGGATGTATGGCGCAGGACACACAACACACTGCCTCTCCCCGGAGCAGAAATAGCCCCTGGTACACCTCACGCGCCCGCACTAACGAAAACCCGACCCGCCGAATCTTCTCTTTACCTGGCCCCAAGCATCTCAACTCCGTCAAAAACGACCACGGGAATTTTAGGCCTTGCTCTACTCCCAGATCACCATAGCAACAGCGCCTTGCCCGGCGAGCGGAGCTTTATGGGAATTGCAGTTCTTTGACAAGAGAAGTCTTTCTGCTCGCGGCCAAATAGGAAAGAATTCGGCGCGCGGTGCTTCCTTTTCTGCATGGCCGATAATGCCTGCCTGCCCACAGTTGTTACCGTACTAGAATCGGTACTACCGTACTAGAATCGGTACTACCATACTGAGGGATTTTTTAAAATACGGGTCATTAAAAGTTTGGTCAGCGTAGAATTTAAGATCGTTACGGAAAAGTGGTTCGATAGCACACGGCTGCAGAAACTTATCTTGCGTGTCCTTAGAATTATTCTACTTTACTGAATTTCTGGATCCCTCAAAGCTGGTCAAGCAAGCCCCTTCTAGAAGCTGTTACGATCCGGTTGTTTCTTGCGACTATTTAAAGTTGTGCAGTGCAGTCCTATGCAGTCTACCTGGAAGCAAGCCTTTTGGACTTCCTTCTTCAGACGAACAGAAGCATCTGCCCTCAAAGCCAATCTGGGAAATATTTAGGCTGCACAGTATGGTTTAAATGCTTTGAATAAATAAAAGGGGGAGGGGCAATGAGAGAAAGAATATGTTGACAGAATAATACTCTAAAGCAGTGTTTCTCAAACTTGGCAATTTTAAATGTGTGGACTTCAATTCCCAAAATTCCACACCCAGCATGGGAAAAGTTGACAAATTTGAGAAACAGTGCTCTAAAACATGGCATGCTTTCTAGCCCTGAATCTGCATGACAAAATACAGACTTCTTTCTCATTTGTTTTATTTGTTACAATGTTTTACAGTCATATAAAAATACCTTGTACAAAACCATAACTAGATTAAATAAATAAAAAAAATTCTACATATAAATTAATATTTTTGTAAATTTTAAGAACAATTTGAAATACAAGATCCATTAAAGTATTTCTTTATTAAGTTTATACAAGCTGCATATATTTTCAGTTTTCATTGTTTCTGGGTGAGACCCATACTATTTAACATCTACCTGAAGATAAATGTTATGTATGGCTAGTTGTACCAGTATATATAGATAGGATGCATCAAGAGCAATACAGTAGGGTCAGATGTACATTCAGATGGGCGATCCAGTTTAACTTTACAGCTCCTACTGCAGTGAATGTTGCATACAGTAATCTGCTTATGCACGCACATATCTTTTTATAGGATTACAGTGAGAATAATGGTTGCCGGCATACTTTTTAAAATGAAAAATGTACAGTAAATGAAATGTGATAGAAGATAGATAGATAGATAGATAGATAGATAGATAGATAGATAGATAGATAGATAGATAGAGCACCACTATAAGCAGTATCAGGGTACCACTATTAATTTACATGGAAACAGCAGCAAATATAGAGCTTTGTTGGGCTGTTGCCCATGTACCTTGAAAATAAGAAATATGTAAAAATCCAAGTGGTAGGATTTTATGCAATTTTTATTTTCCAGCATGAAAATTGGCCTGCTAATTAAATGTGATGAACTTGCCTCTAAAAATGCTGGTCCTGATTTTACTCTAAAGTCTTTTTTTTTTTTTTTTT